AGCCCCGATCGATCCAATAACGGATCGGCAGCGGAACAATATCACTGCGCCGGCCCGGCCGCTGACGGTAATATCACACAGAAAATACAGTGACGCCGCCATCGTCGCCGCGCCGCCGTCGGCCAAGGAGCGGCCGCGGGGACAATAAAGTTCCGGCGCCGGCGGCCGGGCCGGCCCGCGCTGACGGAGGAGGTCACCACGCCGGCGGCCGGGCCGGCCGCGCTGACGGAGGAGGTCACCACGCCGGCGGCCGGGCCGGCCCGCGCTGACGGAGGAGGTCACCACGCCGGCGGCCGGGCCGGCCGCGCTGACGGAGGAGGTCACCACGCCGGCGGCCGGGCCGGCCCGCGCTGACGGAGGAGGTCACCACGGCGGCGCATTTCAGTCTGGTGCAGCGCGGGCAGGTCGCAGGGGTGACTGCGTCTCACCACCTGCGCGGTATGGTCGGGCTTCATACGAGCTTATTAGGCGTGGTATGCTTCCCATGGAACAAAATGAGATGCGGGTTAGATTTTATTTCATGACGAACGCATATTTGCACTGCTTTCCATTGTCGTACATCATTATATAGGTGAAAGACAAGTCCTATCGCGCAGGGTAGTTCTGCGCATTCCGAACATTCACTAGTGCACCCACACACATTTTATGTACATACTGTCATGCCGCACATGTTTGCCGATCTCCAAATGTTTTCTCTACAGGACGAGCTGACTGGCACCTCGGTACCTCGTGCCGACGCTGAGCGGCGTTGTCGCTGGTGTTGCCGATCTGCTCTGATCCACGTGTTATCATCACTTAATGCGCCATGCATATTTTGTGATATTTTATGAGGCTTTGTGTGTCAAGCCAGTTACGTTGCCTGGAAATGGTGCTCATGTAATTTTGCTTTTGCCAGACACTGATCATTAGGGCACCCAGGCTCAGCAGCCGTTGCACACTGCGAGGTTGCAGGACGGCACATGTGCTGTACGCTGCAAAGATCTCGTGTTTGATTGACCTACGACGCTTTGGCAATTGCATTTCGTATTTGTGCACACGGTAAACGTTAATTTCACATATTTTATTATGATCACTGTTAATTGGCATGTGCGAAATGTGTCGCTTCACATAGTCCTAAGCTTTGCTTATGTGGAAAGCCAATACCAAGATTCATGTTTGTCACTAACCCTGCGTCCGCTCCTTGCAGTCTGCATGCGTCAAACAAACAAAACGTAACCCTGTTCATGTCAGGGATGGAATGGACCCTGTCCTAATCCATTTTTAGCGGATTTTCTCGAAATAAGTTGGGGCAGGTTTTACAATTTTGGGGCTTTTACGAAAAGTTTTGCGTTCTGAGTCAAGCCTTTGGGTGTATGACTTACAGAGAAATGGTTTAAGTTCCCAGTATTGAAAGGGAACCCAGGTGAAATTCTGCAATCCTGCAGACGTGATGTTTCCAGCATTTTTTTTCTCTCAATTCCTTGCGTTTACAGGGGTAGCTGATGCTTACGGCGAATAGACAATGAAACATGAGTATGGAGGTTGCAAATTTACACAAGTAGCATGCCGATGAAATACTTCGTGGTATCCAGATTCAAATGATCGCGATTCGGAAAACATGTGCACAAACAGTATGCATATATATATATATATATATATATATATATATATATATATATATATATATATATACACATGGTGGTGTTAAATGCGCGTTCTGGTTTCGCGAACTGGTATAAACAGGAGCATAGCTTAGATATATTTCAGCACTACAGTGTTGTGAGCGGATGATGTGAGCAAATCTGGAGGATTAAGTTTTTTTTGGTATAGATGCACCACATGGATGATGAAAGATGAGTTATTTAATCTGGAGCACGGAGGGCCAAAACTCTCTGGTGCATTTCATCTCTCACTCCTGTGCATCATGTAGCATCTAAAATTTATTCGCCAAAGGCGATTTCGGGAACAACAGAAGGGAATTAAGTGGCATCTAGCAGCGAGCCTTGAGCTGAGGGCCGTATAATTGGGCCGCGAGGCAGTCACCTGCCTCCGTTGCTCCTCCTTTGGAAAACCGATGCATGTGTTATCATTCATTTACAGTGCCTTTGCATTTACATGTTGTGCAACAATTTTCTCCACTAGACACTTAGCCTTCTTCTGTTACCACCCACATAGACGCCCTGATTACGTTCGCAGCAAAACTGTAGCTTATGTCTTCTTTTATCATAATAAAGCGAAGCATTATCTTGTGCGAACCGTGCGCGCTCCATTAAATATCCGTTTAGGGAACTCGCATTTCTATCCCACTTGTTATCTCCGGACAGGCCGATAAATTCTCACTTCTAAAATAGTGCCACAGTATATCCATATCAGAATTATGAGTTCAAATTCCTCGTTCCGAATTGTCGACCTTCCATGCACCAGAGCATGCTGGTTAAACGGCGTTATCCAGCACACAGTTGTCATGTTGGCAGCACGCATGCGTACATTGGAGCATTATCAATATAATCTATGTTTGCTCATGACGCCGCTTAATCAATGCCTCGCAATATATTGAAAGTCAATAGCTCAGCTTAAGGACACGGGACTCATTATGCCGACAACCAGTTGATGAAAGCCGCTCTTGCTGACATCGAAAAACACAACTGTCATTTATTAATTTGTATTAGTTGTGTCAACATCGGTTGGTAAGCGTGGTAACTGTGTCAAACACACAACTCCTCCAACATATGGAGCTACGCCCCTATGTTACCCCGTACAAGATATTTTGATATTCAAAATTTGGTAGTGCAAATACCGTTGTAAAAATCAAGCGTTGTTGTTATTTAATACTGTCTCGGTAGTCACGAGCACGCAAATATCTGAGCCACAAGCCCTTTGTACCTAAGCCATAAATCCAAAACACCTGAACCATGAATCTCACACAGCTGAGTCATGAATCCCAGGCTGCTGAGTCACGACCTGTACTTTGAATTGCACATATGTAGCCTACGAGTCCCTGATATCATGCATGTATTTTCGTCCGTCTCACCTCACCCGTGCGTACCAGGTACTCAGTTTGCAATCCTTTCATGCTCCGTCCCTGGTGTATCAGGTACCTCGACCGTAGATTACCAGCAGGTGACTCGTCAGCTCCAGATGTCTGTTCCAGGAGCTAAGACATCTAATCTATGAGTTCAAGACGTCTGATCCAAAATTTCCCTCCATCGATAGTCCACAACTCTGCGTACTTGACCCTTAGCCTCCATCACTCGACGCGTAGCCTCCAGACGTGTGCCGCCCTTCCGCTGGTGCCGCGTCGAGCGGGCGCCGGCGCGGCGGTGTGCACGCCAGCCACCAGGTGGGAGGGAGCCGGCTGTCGGGACGGTTGCGCCGCTGCGGCCGCTGCCAATGTGGGCACATAATCAGGGCCTGCCATTGAGTGCCGTCCAACAAAGGGCGGACCCACCGCCGCGGACAATGCTGGCCGCTGCCTGGGCCGACGTCGCGTCACGTGGCCGGCTACTGAGGCCACCCACGCCGTCAGGACAGAGCACACCCGAGGTCAGGGTGACAGAGCACATCCGGGTCAGGGTAACAGGGCGCACCCGAGTCAGGGTAACAGGGCGCACCCGAGTCAGGGTGACAGAGCACATCCGGGTCAGGGTGACAGGGCGCACCCGGGTCAGGGTTAGAGAGCACGCCCGGGTCAGCGTGACAGAGCGCATCCGGGTCAGGGTGACAGAGCACATCCGGATAAGGGTGACAGAGCGTACCGTGCTGACGTGACAGAAAGCGCCTTGGTGACGTGATAGTGCCCACCAATTAAGAGGGCCCACGCGCTGATCTGGCATCGTAATTGATTAGATTGTTCGGGCGCAGCCATCTCCGCAAGCCTGCTCCCAATTTGGCAACAGATGACCATCCAACGTCTCAGAAAAGCAGAGTCCCCCAAGCTGGTGGCTTCAAATGTTAAGAAACTTCGGTTTGATCATCAGAAGAGTTAGACCCTCCGGCTGCCGCCGCCGCCTCGGCACTGTCGCTGATAACCTGGGGTGGCATCAGCCGCCGGCTGCGGGCGGGGCGCGGCCAGCGCGGAGGCGGCAGCCGCCCACCGGCCACAGCAGAGGGATGTGCTCTCGCAGACCATCAGTCTGGCCTCACGTCCACCAGCGGGCCGGGGCGGTGATGCACCTTCGTGCCCGCCGCTTTTGCCGATGAATGCATCACGATGGTGTTGGCATATGTGATGAATTGATGGGAGGACGGCGGGAAGAGGCAAATAAGACGCAGTGGTGCCGGCGCCGGTGGCAAACACATCGCCGACCGACAGTGGGTGTCATGGGGCAGCCTGGAGCACCAATGCTGGCCTCACACGCAGCCGAATTGGAGCGAATGCCTCTGGGAAATCCTGACGTTTGACTGAGTGTTTCGTGATACATCCATTGACTGACAATCAGGAACGTCGATGGACGATCGAAGTTCATTCCCGGCCGGACTAAGTCTTAGTGAACATGCTCTTGAATGATCTTGCATGAATATGTGGGAAATGACGCTCAGTCAGCGCAGCAGAAGTCAGTGAATGACCGCAAGCGGTAAGGTGTAACCAAAAAACTTCGGTATTTTTAAAAAATTTCCACGCTTTGTGGCCATTTTTTTCCTTCATTTCATTTTATATTTCCAAATTTCGACACTCACATTGTCAGCTCCAATGACTGAATGCAGTCCGCGCAGGTGGGCTTACCTATCATCGCCACAGATATGGAACAGCTACCTCCAGCAAGGAAGTAGGCCGCTACATGTCCTGACTGGGCAGCCCCGTTAAATAAGGTGAATCAACGCACCTTTTAAGGTTTATTGTAAAGTGAAAAAGCGACGTGGATCTCCTTAATATCTCTGCGATTCAACGCTCTGCAAGTCTTGGCCTGGCAAAGGCTGCTATATAAACGGCACAGTCGCCGCGACGACATTGTTTGATGTAAACAGTGAACACAATGTGAACCCAGTAAGTTGACTTGACTCAGCGCTTTACCTACTTTCAGAATACTTCAAGGCTGCGGACACCTGGATGGGATAATGCAGCTCTATCTGACGACTGTCTTCATCCTGGTGGCCTCACTTGTGATGTCATCACCGCCTCCGACGACATCTTCAGCTCCACCGCCGGATTGGGGGGAGCCAAACCAAGACATGGCTTCATTCCCAGACCCAGACTCTGTAGCCCAATCGGAGGATGACAGGTAAACTTGGGCGGCGGTGGTAGCGTTAAAATTATCTTGCGATAAGCTTTCTTCAAATGTCAACTATCTTTCATTGGCTTTGCCATATGTTTTGTTCATCTCAACAGCTCGACTGGTCAGAGCGTATGCCTTCCGCTCCACTCATCTGTGGCGGCGTGGGTTCGAGTCGCCTCTGGCGCTCGGTATTTACGCTTGACAGGCATGACCTGCGGCAGGTAGCAGCGAGCGTACTGAGGTTCATGTGACGCTAGAGGACAGAACAGGCCATGCTAAGCATTGTGGCATGCTCAAATTTTGCCATAATATTCTGCTCTTGAACTAGAATTCCGCGATCGGACGATGGGAGTCAGACCTCACACAATAAGCACTGCTTTGGGTGAGCTCTGATCCCCCAAAATCATTCATTCTTAAGATTCGTGTGCACTTAGGCAGCATGTTGTCGTTAATACAAGTTTTGTGATATGCAAGGGAAATGTACATATAATCAGCTTCTTGCGCGTTTGCTCGATCGTTCGAATTGAATCCTCTTTTCTTTCCGGTAAATCTTAAATCAGTTCGCCCATGATCATTCCTATTAGTTTCAGATAGCTAACGTTTCAAGGACATTCGTTCCCCGCTCTCAAAGCAATGTAAGACAGTCGGACGAAAAGTATTCGAATATGGCAAAATACGAGGCATGCTCTACGAGACATAATCAAAGGTTAACAATCAGTTAACAAACTTTGCGTCTGAATATCAGGTCAAACTGCACAACACGTACAAACACCCGCATGTCACTTTTCTAGCCACTTTAACACCATGACAAGTTGAAGGCATCGCACCACCCTACTGTCATTTGGTGACTGAACAGGTCCAAATTGATGCATGACCTAAGCTGGTTGTTTAAATTATGCATTATTTTTCTGATGGGGATGGCTTCGAGAACTTGCAAGCTGCATTTGTTTGGACATGAGTTAAGAATTCGTGAGTTTTCAGTTACGTCAGAGCGCAGAGGCCTTTTGTGGGTTTTATGCTTATGTTGGTCTGGCGCTCCCCCCCCCCCCCCCTGCAGGCGCATTGTCATGTGTCGTGCTGGAGATTTCGTGGTCATTCCAATACAATTGCGGAGCAGGCAGTCTCCGTAGGGGCATTTAAATTCGTACACTACGTTGCTGCGCTTTAGTTGGCTTTGGCCTACGGTCAGACTGCTTTTTATTATAAGGCTGCTATTCGTCCTGCTCTTTTAATAGATGGTGAGTCGTATTTGAATGTTTTCGTCAGTCGGTGCGCGTATGACCTGACGATGTTCTGCAAAACTTTTCCGTCCACCTTACATGACGGGGGATTTGACTGGACGAGTAAACTCGCGAGAAACTGATTAAAAGTACATTTGCCCTTACATATATATATATATATATATATATATATATATATATATATATATATATGTGTGTGTGTGTGTGTGTGTGTGTGTATGCATGTATGCATACATATACACATGCGCGTATGTATAGATGCATATGCAGTTACATACATATACATGCATGTTTTGTTTCATGTGTCATGCTGTTGCTTGCCAAAATTTTATTCCTCATTGATGTACACCCAAGATATTGTCTTACACAACTGAAGACGGAAGTAATACAAAATTTGAAGTTGGACATACAGCTGAGGAACAGGATTAAGTCAGTCGGAGGAGAGGGCGTAGGCTATGGCCGGCTCACCACGTCCGACTCCTCTATATACAACGCACCTGCTCTGTTATTTGATGTTCCCCAGCATTAATAGCAGTTTTTCCACGGGCTTGTAAAATTTGCTGGCGCTAGCTCGTGCCAAGGTGTGAACAGTTCCCAGTTTACTGATAAGTTCGGCTGACTAATGGGCTGCTGACATGATGGGGCTGCTGACTGGTGGGGGCTGCTTACTAGTGGGCGCTGCTGACTGGCGGTTGCTGCTGACTGGTGGGGGCTGCTGACTGGTGGGGACGGTTGACTTGTGGGGACTGCTGATTGGTGGGAACTACTGACTCGTGGGGACTGCTGATGGTGGACTACTGACTGGTGGGGACGGCTGACTTGTGGGGACTGCTGATTGGTGGGAACTACTGACTTGTGGGGACTGCTGATTGGTGGGGACGGCTGACTTGTGGGGGCTGATGACTGGTGGGGACGGCTGACTGGTGAGGGACGCCAGCCGCTACAGCGTAGACGCGCCAGCCGCTGAAGGCGGCAAAACGCGTCGCATCGCTGGCGACCCCCGGTCACGCGCTCCTGCACACCCCGGCAGTATATTGTGGCATCCTGCTGATGTCACTTATCCGCGCCGGCTTCACAATACAGCGGGCGGTCGGCCGGCTCGCCATGACCGTGCGTTGTCGGCGCATTGTCCGAGCAGTCTTATCTGGTCCGGTCGGCCATTGCCGTTCGGCCGGCGGCCAGGAGGAACGGAGACAAAGGCTCCAGATGGGGCGGTCACCCGTCCTGCGTCTCCTGAGCGGAGGACCACGGACAAAGCGGCCGGATCGGGCGGCGTCCTCGCTCTCATCTTAGGTGGGCAGAGGACCAGCTCATGATGTTGGGCATTGGTATTGGTCAGTTCCAGATAGGGGAGATGTGTGTGGCTGTGAAATCGGGAACCCGCAGGGATAGATCGAGGCTTTTCCCACCTCGGATGATTGAATAAGATAAGAGACCTGGGTATACATGAATTCCCGTGGCATCAATAGAAATAACTCACAAACGCCTTATCGTGAGACCAGGACATATTCAACCTGCTTATAAAAGCCCGAACAGGCAGAGTCTTGCATCTGAAAAACAAGAGAGTATGTTGAAATGACGCAATAATTTATGCTTAT